AAAAAATTACTCAAAAAATGTTGGAGGGCAAAGGAGAAGGAGTAAGACGGCGTAAAGATAGGTAAGAGGGTCAAGACATGTTTGGCTTGGCAATTTTGAAGGAAAGATAGAGAAAATAGTTCCAATTTTATATTTGACGGCTCATTCTGCTTGAAATTACAGCTTTTATCGGAAACACTTTTACTCACCAAGCGGAGGGGAGTGCGTCAAAAGCACATCAACTCCTGCAGGAATGTTGTTCCACTTGTCAAGTAACGCTTGTCCTCTGGATAAGTTGAATGCCCAGTTGTCAACTCGTGGCTGCCTAAACATCCATCAAAAGCTCAGGGTTTGAGCAGTTTTTTTCAAAAAGTTAAAAGCAAAGAACAATACGAGCTGAGATCCTACCATGGCGTGCCGTAAATAATGATTCCAAACAATTCGATAACAGAGTCTTCGAGGTAGATACCATTAGTAAGCAAAGATTTAGGTGAAGTGACCTTTGATGATGACAGCGACGCTTGCAGAGCTTGCTTGAGAGCTATTTCCTTAGCCTCAACTTCTCGATCTAGAGTAACAATGGTTTCCATATTCTGTAGAAATGTTCAAAAAATGGTTCAAAAGAACACGACTTTAAAATTGCCTTACTTGATGACCGCAGGAATGTGTCGTCAAAAGTGCACTCATGGTTGCCGGCGATAACGACTTTGTAAGCGTGTTTCAGTTGACCTGAATGGTAATATTTCTTGATATCTCCTCCATTCCCTTTTATCAAACGTTATTTTGTGGGAGAAATTGTTTGAAATACCAATTTCGATTAGTTGCTTGCGCTTCAATATAATCCTTATTACGCAGTTTATGGAAGGTGTTGCGGGAGCTCGTTCTGCTACTTGGTTGGAAGAATCCTATCAATATGTAAACCACTTTTGGTGTACTCATAACTTAATTCACCATGTTTCTTAACTAGCAATATTTCAGCCTTGGTACTATAAAGGTCAGGTGGACAAAGCGTCATTTGCCGCACTGAAGTGCCAGATGCAATTAGTGCTTGGACGAGGCTACGCTTAATGAGCACGACAGAAGCAAAACGTAGAAGCCATTTTCCAGCTTCTTAGTTGTTTTATTCACCTTAAGGGTAACCAGCGACACAAATTTCTCGTATAATTAAAGTCAACTTCTAAGTTAACGTGTTTTGCTTTGGTCACTACTGCGCCTCAAGGTATTAGAAATAGGGAAGCATATGCAATCCACAGTATCGCATAAAAACCAATCCTGATTTCGCAACCAACGTAGTTGCATTGATCATGACCTACTTCTGTGCTGTACATACCTTGGAATACAATAGGACAATAACAAGCAAGTTATTTTTATTGATTCTGTAAGCTGAATTCATAACATCCAGGAGATTGAGTATCAAATCGTATTCAATTATACTCGTTCGTTCAGATGTTCTTATCAGGTCACTAAGCATAGACTAATATGGTCAGCGCCGGAAGAGGGTGCGGAGGAAAGAATGCTCCTTAATTTTCTGTATAGTAATGTGCTTGTAGGCGACTAAAGGGGCTGACGGCACGTTTTAGATACACTATCTGAGAAGTTGGAAGTGTGAGCTAGAAACTATGAAAGTGTAGCCTGGCGAAAGTTAACTTGCGCCCCACACTACAACCCAGTCACATAAAAATTTTGCAGGTTCGTAATTGCAAGGAG